TATTATTAAAACCTCACCCATTCTACTGTGGTTAATATCTGTCAACATAGAAAGATGTTACAGAATCATTGATTATATTCTCCATGCTGTATTACTATCCCCTTGACCAACTTATATTATGATTGAGAATTTTTGTGCCCTTTTATTCCCCTTCCCCTCCCCATGGTAACCACCAGTCACTTCTAGTGTCTGTGAGTCTAGTGCTATTTTGTTCCTTCGGTTTTGCTTTGTTTTTATATTCCACAAATAAATGAAATCATATGGTATTTGTCATTCTTCATCTGGTTTATTTCACTGAGCATAGCACCCTCTAGATTCACCCACATCATTGCAAATGGCTGGATTTCTCTTTTTAATTGCTGAATAATGCATTATGTATATTGCCACATTTTCTGTGTCCATTCATCTATTAATGGGCACTTAGATTATTTTCATATCTTGGCTATTGTAAAATAAATAATGTGGTGATAAACATAAGATGCATATATCTTTTCAAATCAGGGATTTTGTTTTCTTTGGGTAAATTCCTAGAAGTGGAATTACTTGGTCAAATGGTATTTCTATTTTTAGTTTTTTGAGGAACCTTTATACTGCTTTCTGTAGTGGTTGTCTCAATTGCCATTTCCACCAACAGTGTAGAAGGGTTCCCATTTCTCCACATCCTCACCAACACTTGTTATTTTTTGTCTTTTGGGCAGTGGCCATTCTAACTGGTGTGAGGTGATATTTCATTGTGGTTTTGGTTTGCATTTCCATGATTATTAGCGATATGGAACATCTTTTCATGTGTTTGTTGGCCATCTGAATTTATTCTTCAGAGAACGATTCAGGTCCTCTGCCCAATTTTAATTGGGAACACCATCTTTAAATGTCTGCTTCCTTTATCGTTTTTGGCAGTAACTCTTCTTTTAATTTTTTTAAATTGAAGTATATTGGATATACAATATGATATTGGTTTCAAGTATACAACATACTGATTGAACAGTTACCTACATTATCAAATGCTCACCCCCCACCCCAGAGTACTTACTGTCAACAAAGAAAGATGTTACAGAATTAATTGACTATATCCTCTCTGCTGTGCCTTCATCACCATGACTAATTCATACTATGATTGAGATTTTGTGCCTCTTTATTCCCCTTGGTAGTAATTTTTAGCTCAAGTCCCCTAAAAGCAGAGCCTGTGATGGAGGTTTAAATGTGCATGATTTAATGAGGGAGTCTTAGAAGAAGTAATGGGGAAGCAGAGAGAAGCAAACGTGTGCTCTCAACCAGAGTCTAGCTTCAGCTTGGCCACTTGCAGAGATACGGAACAGGAAGTGCACGAGGGTGCGTCCGACCTTGAAGCAAGGGAGTCAGCTTTTTGTACCTTTGTGTTAGTTGGTCCAAGTGTAGGTCGTCTCCTTCCTCCCCTAATGTGGGAGCTGCCGTTTATCCAGTACCTCCAAGAGTGCTTCTCCTGAGAAGGAGCAACTGTATATAGTTAGCAACTAAAACAACCGCTGGAAAATAGGATCATTAGCTTAGTTAGTTGAATCGATGCCGGGCACCAACAGCATTGCTACAATAGACGACAATGATGTGGATTATGTGTGAATGGCAATTTAGGGCTTCACACAAAGTTAATAATGAGCACACCTTACATTATTCAAAAAGTGCTATTTCTCAGAAACCTTGGAAGTACATAAATTAGGGCTCTGAGGACGCTTGACGGCTGACTAACACAGTGGTTCTAGCAATATCGTCTATATTGAATATGGCTGTGAAGAATGTGATTATTATACAATTCTTTTATGAAATGAAAAAAGTAGAAAATCATATATAATATTTTATGTTTATTTAAAATTTATGAGTGCCCAAATTAGATAGTTGAATATTCTATATCCTTTAAAACTTATATATTTAAGTGGGACATCACCTAATTGTCCACCTGGTCATTTGAAAGAAATTCATTAGTGGACTGTGTTAAGCAACTCTGACATGTAGTGGGATTAAACATTAATAGCTACCCTATTTATGCAATGTTTAAAAATCTTCAAACTGTCATTTATAAAAAGATTGAATTTCAGGTGAGATACTCATGTAGACACTACAAACTTAAAAATGAATTTCTTTGCTGTTTTTTTTTTTTGTAGCTCAGAGAATTGTTGTTTACTTGCAACATGGTTTGTTTACATCTGCCACCAGCTGGATTTCCAGTCTTCCCAACAACAGCCTGGGCTTCCTCCTGGCAGACGCTGGTTATGACGTGTGGATGGGAAACAGCAGAGGGACTACCTGGTGGTCCAGGAAACACTTATACCTAAAAACAAATTCCACAGAATTTTGGGCTTTCAGGTACAAATAAATATCAAGTAATGTTTTATTTTAGTTTACATGCATTGAATATTTTTTTCTTTATGAGTGAAATAAAATATAAGTGTATTTTCTCAACTCAGAGGTTTCAGTAGACCATCAAAATTTATGTACATTTTGGCTTAAAAATTAGTGTTTGTGTGATTTTATACTTGTTTCTCACTTTTCAGCAATAACTTTTATTGACTAACCCTACTCTTTCTTCAGCTCTTCTTTCACTCTGTAACCTATATATTTAGCCTCACTGTATTTAGAATATACAAACACCCTCCTTATAAGACTTTGTGGCTATTTTTTTCCTTGATTTTATGTTCTCACAGTCTCTACTCAGTAGGTAAATCATACCACAACTATCTTTCAGTACCCAAAGAGAGTTGAAAATTGCTTTTATTTATTCACCTGTTCATTATCTTCAAATGTTAATATAGCATTAGTAGAACTGCATCTTTATTGTCCTTTTTCTTTTGTAGTTTTGACGAGATGGCTAAATATGACCTTCCAGCCTCTATTGATTTCACTGTGAAGCCAACTGGACAAGAGGAAATATTTTATGTAGGCCATTCACAGGGCACTACTATTGGTATGGAAACAAAGATTGTTGCTAATATTCCTTACTTTTTAAAGTTTGTAGATATACTTTCTAAGGATGTAGGTAAGCTTAAAGACCTCTCAGTAAAATAAAGCAGAATTGTGAGGTGAGCATAGAATAGTCAGTGCCCTGGAAACTTACATGCTGCTTTGAGTCCATGTAGTCTTCTCTAGTCACAAAGAATTGCTTGTAAAAATAAGGGTTGTGGTTTTGATTGTTTCCCATTGTATGGAAGGTGGATATCCATCTTAAAATCAAAGTAAGATCATAATTATCAGTTGTTCCACAAATAGAAATTTTGTATTTTTTAAAAATAATGTAGCCTAGGGTTTTATAACTGACAGACCTGAAAATGCTATTTGTGTTTTAACATTTAAGAGAGATTAAGAAATGCACAAAAATGAGGAAAGCCTTCTTATATTTAAAGATGACTAGAAAAGAATTTTCATCTCTTCACAGCATAATGCTTCTGTCTAGGAACTTTACTTTCAGAAAAAAATTCCCCAAGACCTAGCATAATTCCCTTATGTGGTGTTGTAAATCTGTTAACTCTTACTCTTTATACTTTGGAAGTAGAAAAGGCCATTTTATAAGAGAAGCCAATATTATATGAGTCTTGTCTAGGCTGTGTGTCATTTCTTATAGGAATAATTCATTCCCTACTAGAAAGATTTGCTGAGTAAGTCTAATTCCACTTTTCATAGCTCTTTACTCTGACGTGAATTAACTATGTGCAACTTTTAGTCTTGCCAGGTATTCAGTTATCTGGAAACAGGAATCTCAGAAAATTATTAAATAAGAAAAAAAATGGGTGATGTGTCAGAGCTTATTGACTCATAATATGATACATAACTTTGGTTATTTGGCTTCTCAGAATCCAGGGTTATAAAACAACCAATAAAATAGAAATGTGCAAATACATAGTTTGATAGGATGTCAAAAGTGAAAAACTACTATTTGTCATATTAGTGACTCCAAACTCTCAATAAAATACAAATTTATGTTTAATATCCTCTGCACCAGAAGGCAAGGAGGTTCTAAAATATATTCGAAACATTACAATTTAACATTTATTGAGTCTCATACCTAAAGTATAAAACTCATCTATCTGAAAAATTAACTTACCTCATTTCTACCTTCACCAGTTATACAAATGTTCAGTATTATTTCTGAATTTTTAACTGTCATGAACAAGGATGATTGCTGAATTATCATTGTTTATCATCTATATATTTCTTCTCAATCCTAATGATCAGCATTATGTTGTGACCAGTATGCATCTTTCATACTGGGTAATCAATAAATGTTTGGTAAGTGAACTTCAGAAATGAATGAGTAAATTAATTGTTCAGAGCCTATTGAACTTTTATTTGCCATGGTATCATTTCTTACATGTTAGTAATTACTTGAGAATAGGTGATTTATATCTTATTTTCTTTCAGCTTTCATAACATTTTCCACAATGCCAAAGATAGCTCAAAGAATCAAAATATTTTTTGCCTTAGCACCAGTTTTTTCCATTCAATACTCAAAAAACCCTTTACTTAAAATGGAAGCCAGTGATCAAGGTATGTTATTCCTTTCCTTTACGTGGTTGATAACTCAAAGTGACCATGATTTTGTGCTTTCAAAATAAATGTCTTGACTATGTTTGCATGGCCACATGTATGAATTGGATATTTGGTTACCTTTACACTGGATTCTTGCCTTTGTTTCTATAAAGGGATAGGATTTTATTTATGATACCTTTGGGCATCTCATTGTGAAAGAAAATTCAGCTGTCAAATCATCTCTACATGCTGCCCCCAATATGGCCTTAATTTAAATGTTTTAAACTACTGTGAGATAATACATTTGGTTGTAAGCATAGTGAACTCACCACAGCATTTCTTGATATTGTTTTGGTCTTCCAAATATGAATAAAGTAAATTTATTTTACAGATTTTTGCTGGCAACAAAGACTTTTTACCTAATTCATCATTTAAAAGATTTGTGGGTTCAAAGGTGTGTCCACTAAAAATTTTTGGTAAGATTTGCCATGACATCTTGTTTATGATGTCTCGATATAACCGGAAGAACTTAAATATGGTGAGAACAAGTTGTATTTGTATGTATTTTATTAAGTTTTAGAAAGTAACTCTCAATAGTGATTATTTTATGCCTTGGTAGTCATTTTATGATTTACCCATATATACTAGCAGTTAGATTCTTAGCCTTTTTGATTTTGTGACTATACCAACAATGTGAAACTAATTTGCATTGCCATGCCGGTATTATTTGACCTCCATATTTGTCTTCCACTCTGTAAAGAGCAGAGAACAGCTGCTGTGATGGCTAACTTTATTATTAGCCTTTGCTATTAGGTGTTAATTTCTTTACATTTCTTGCATTAAAGTTGTCTTCTATTAGCTTATTTCCAATAATTCCTCCTCTTCTGTCCTGGTTCCTAACACTCTTTCCCGTCCTTGTTGATCCTTCTGTAGTTAGAATTAGCACCTCCTAATTATCTTACATACTTCTGGAGTGGGAAATTGTTTTGATGGTTAAGCGACATGGCCATTTGGATTGATTGATTGTTGATTATCTTAGAGGCCTCTTAAAAATATAGGCATGCATTCTAAGATTTTTTTCAGCACATTAATTTAAAAATCCAGATTTAACAGAAAAATTGTGTCATTTGGATTCATGCATATGGACCCTTTAAGAACTTACCAGTGAGAACCAATTTATTCATTTAAAGAAAGAGACGTGTCCCAAATATTTTCATACAACAAGGATATTTTTATTTTATTCAGTCTCAAAAGGTCTTTTACCCACTCATGGAGAGCTATATAGACAATTACATAAATTTGAAAGATAATGAAAAATTGAAGAAACATTTCAGAGTAGAAGAGATGAATTCAGTTCTTTTCCTTTTTCTCATAAAGGTGAGAGCAAGTTTACCTTTTGCCATAGAAGATAAAAAAAGAATACTTTAATACCCTCTCTCATATTCTTCTGCCCATCTACTATTATATATACCTACCATGGAATGACTAGAAGGATCATAAATATACTCTTTATTTTTTCTTGCTTTATTCATTCATTCTATGTTTTGGGTAATATATATGGCCATTGCTGTATTTTATATAATTACACTGTGGTGTCTTTGAGAGCTCTTTTTTATTTTTCTTTGTTAACTATTAAGAAAGCTTACATCCTGACTTCTTAGCATTTAAACTTGTTTGTCTCCTTTCTGGGACAAAGACTGACAGTAGTGTATGTTGTAATATGGTTGTCTCCTAAATTATCTGGGATTGGGGGAAGTTTGAAGTAAAAAAATTTCATGCACATTGTGTATGGGAACAGTGAAAGTAATAGTATGGTTCAGTTTGATTCAGTCCCTTTGGGCCTAATAAGTTCTTTGAGGACAGTAGTGTCTGACTTAGTATTCTTCCCTATAGGCAGTATGAAAACGCAAAGGAAAATCTTGCAGTTTGTAAAAATGACAGTTATTAGGCCAGTGTCACTCAGACATGGAAAACCAAATAAAAGAACTGAGAGCAAGCTATCATGCAAAAGAGTCCAGGTAGCAAAAACTCTCATCAATGTAACTTGGGGAAATGTATTATCAAACAACCCAGAATTTTGACTTCATCTAATCCCTATTATTCTTTTGTGGTGGTTTACAAGAAAAATTCTAACATATATAAAGAGAAATGAGCCTGAGATATCTGAGTATAGTTATCTAGTATGTGTGGTTATGATTTGAATCCCTTTAGGGACTTATTACATCTTTGATAAAGTTGAAGTAGAGACTCTGATATACATCTCACATTACTCATGAATGGGCATGATGAACATTTATGAAAGCCACTTGTGAGCTTCGTCATCCATGGAACAAGGTGTTTTGGGTTGAGTAAGCCTCTAATCCATGTGAGGGTAAAGAGTAGAGACCTCTAATGGAAGCAGTATCTGGAATATGTGCATACAGGATAAACATTATATTAGAACATATTTCAAGCACAAGGAAGAATTGTAGTTAAAGGATCCAGTGAATACCTAACAGTTTTAATTGTACAATGTTTCTGTTAAAAAGTTTTGTATAGGCCATTTAAAGTTATTCTATCAGAACTTTCCTCTTGCCAATTCAAAGTGCTTTGAGTTGCAATGGAAACAAAAGAAGTTTTCTTTTCAGCCCCCAGGTAGTCAAATGGCAAAAACTTTAAAGAGGTGACATAACAATTAAGAATATATTATGAGGATTTCACTTCTGGCCATGAGTTTGTACAGAGTCTAGAATTATCCTCTCAGCATAAATAGCTATAAAATTGGTAAAAATATAGGAAAAAATAACCCAGGTATGAAAGGCTGGGTCAATATTAAAAAATCAATTAATGTAATCCATTATATCAGTAGGGTCAAAGGAAAAATCACATGATTGTATCAACAGGTAGAAGAAGCATATGACAAAATCCACACAGAAAGCACATAGTGAATCTGCAGGATCTTACTACACTGATGGACAGTGACTGCATTGGGGTATGGGTGGGGACTTGATAATTTGGGTAAATATAGTAACCACATTATTTTTTCATGTGAAATCTTCATAAGAGTATATATCAATCATATCTTAATAAAAGAAAAAAAAGAAGAATAAAATACCTAAGAATAAACCTAACCAAGGAGGTAAAAGACCTATACTCTAAAACTACAAGATACTCAAGAGAAAAATTTAAAAGACACCAATAAATGGAAATCTATCCTGTGCTTATGGGTAGGAAAAATTAATATTGTCAATATGGCCATCCTGCCCAAAGCAATTTAAAGATTCAGTGCAATCCCTATCAAAACACCAACAAGCATTCTTCAATGAACTAAAACAAATAATTCTAAAATTCATATGGAACCACAAAAGACCACTAATAGCCAAAGCAATCCTCAGAAAGAAGAACACAGCTGGGGGTATTATACTCCCTGACTTTAAGCTCTACTACAAAGTCACAGTAATCAAAATTTCATACTGGCACAAGAACAGACACATAGATCAATGGAACAGAATAGAGAGCCCAGATGTAAACCCACACAGATATGGCTAATTAATATATGTCAAAGGGTCCATGAATATACAGTGTGGAAAAGGCAGCCTCTTCAACACCTGGTGTTGGGAAAACTGGACAGCTACATGCAAGAGAATGAAACTGGATTATTGTCTAACCCCATACACAAAAGTAAACTCAAGATGGATCAAAGACATGAATGTAAGTCATAAAACTCTAAAATTCTCAGAAGAAAACAGGCAGAAATCTCTTGAATATAAGCATGACCAGTTTTTTCCTGGATACATCTCCTCAGGCAAGGGAAATAAAATAAAAAATGAACAAGTAGGACTATATCAAACTAAAAGCTTCTGTACAGCAAGTGACACCATCAGCAGAACAGGAAGGCATCCTACAGTATGGGAGAATATATTTGTAAACAACGCATCTGATAAGGGGTTAATATCCATAATATATAAAGAACTCATATACCTCAACACCCAAAAACAAACAACCTAATTAAAAAATGGATGAAGGAACTGAACACACATTTCTCCAAAGAAGAATTACAAATGGCTAACAGGCACATGAAAATATGCTCCACATCATTAATAATCAGGGAAACACAAATGGAAACTACAATGAGATATCACCTCACACTAGTTAGAATGGCCACTATCCAAAAGACAGGGAATGACAAATGATGGCAAGGATGTAGAGAAATAGGAACCTCCTACTCTGTGGTGGGACTGCAAATTGGTGCAACCACTGTGGAAAGCAGTATGGATATTCCTCCAAAAACTAAAAATAGAAATACCATTTGACCCAGTAATCCCATTCCTAGGAATTTACCCAAGGAAAACAAAAACCCTGACTCAAAAAGATACATGCACCCCTATGTTTATCACCACATTATTTGCAGCAGTCAAGATATAAAAACAACATAAGTGCTCATCAATAGAGGAATGGATAAAGACGTACATAACACAATGGAATATTATTCAGCTGTAAAAAGAAAAGAAATCCTACTATTTGCAACAACATGGATGCATCTAGAGGGAATTACGCTCAGTGAAATGAGGCAGGTGGAGAAAGACAGATACCATATGATTTCACTCATTTGTGGAACATAAAAACAAAGCAAAGCAGAATGAACAAAACAGCAACAGACTCACAGACACAAAGTGACTAGTGGTTACCAAGGGGGAGGGGTTAGGGTGGATGCTGGGTGGAATGAGAGAGAGGAGGATAAAGGGGCACAATAATTCGCAATCAGAGTATAAGTTGATTATGGAGGCTGTTGACCCACTGTGATGTACATTTGAAACCAACATAAGATTTTATATTACTGATAGTTAAAAAAGAGATAACCAGGTGGTTCTTGAAAAGTAAACGCAGATTGTCTCTGAAAAGGAAAAGAACGTGTTTTCTTGTTAAGTAACTGAAACCAATGTAGTTATTTAAAAGAAATAAGCATGATCTTTTTGGCTTCAGATACACTTCTAGGATTTGAAATGTTGGTCATTAACATGTGAGAAGCCAAGATCAACCAATCAAAATATGAATGAATAAGCAGCGAGACAAGTGAGTACCGCTCTGCGAGCTGCTACAGTACCAAGGAAGGGGCGTCGAATGCTGCTAGATGCAAAAACATTGAACACTGAGTGACTTGACAAGAAAGTGCGTTCCATGTAGATGCCACTAGAAAAAACAAAGGCTGAGATTCTGCTATGATATTTCTGCATAGAAGACAGAGAATCAAGGCCACTAAAATTAGGAGAGAACTGGAAGCAGGACTAAAAATTTTTAAGGCACTTTTCACAACATAAACCAAAATTTACATATCAAGAACCCTGGAAGAATTTGAAGTTTTCATCTGACATTGAGACTCGCAGCAATCCTTAGTCTTTTAAACACCTTGCTATGTTCCACCAAGAGAAAATGCTCATTTTTTGAAGTTATTTGACTCACAGAATAATGTCAAGCCTAAGAACATTCACATAAATGCCAATGTTATCAAGAACATATCTTGAAAGATGAGACTATCTCTCTGATTTTTGTGTTTTGATGAATTTGAAGAATACAAAATTTTTCAAGGTTCTGTCTAGATCAAGAATGGTTTTACAATTAACTCGCTTTTGGAAAAGAGGGACTAATGAGAATCTCTGTCAAAGTTTAGATTTGTGTAATTAAAGTTAGCTTGGAAACACAAGCTAAAGTTCTGAAAAAAAAATCACAAAGAAAAAATATTAGGAGGAAGGAGGACCCAACAGATTAAAATTATGAGACGTAACAATGCAGCATGTGGATCTTATTTGGATTATGATTAACACAAATTTGCTGGGAAAAGAAAAGCATAAGACAATGAAGGAAATTTAAAGAGTGATTAGTTATTTGATGAT